TTTATAGTGAGTGTGTGATTTTCGTCATTCGAATAAAGAGGTTATGCTAATGAATTCTAATCATTTAAAAATAATTGTTTATTTAATATTTATAAGTAGTGCTGTATCTAGGTATACCGACTATTAAGCCATAATTGTTTAGCGTGAAATAACCTGCCCCCTTGTTATATCGACACCAAAAACTCGGTGACTCGCTAATAAGTGATTATAATTAAAAAGCCGACGGGCAATCATCATACCATCACTCATTCATTATTCGTGCACACCATACCTCTTTTATTCTAAGAAGAGTTTACGGTCGTCTGTTTGCGACCATAACAAAAGTTCTTAATTCTCGTTCAATTTGCGAATTCTTAAAAGTGTCTTAATTAGTGATGTAAGTCTATGCGTGTACGGTAAATCAACTTTTTCCATTTTAATTTACTTATTTCGTATTTACTTTGTAAACGTGCCTGCAAATAACAAAGGTGTACCATTTTGCTACCGCGGCCCTGACGGCCGTGTCGATTTTTTCCAAGCCTTAGGCTGCAAGGCAGCGCCATCTCTTCGCATTGTAGGTAACGCACAATGTCAAATAAATACTTTTACAAGTATTAAACATTTGAAAGAAGAAATATTGCTATTTCTTCTTTTTATAGTTTATAGTTATTTTTTTATTTTTTTAAGCATTTAACTGCTAGATGTTTAAATCTAAAGAAAAGTTTACTAGAAAAAAATCCACGCTGACCAGGCAGCAGACGGGACGTCCCGTTTCAGTCCATTTTCAATTTTAACCTAACCAGGAGAGAAGTTACAAACTCGATCTAAATAAACGTATTTTTTTCCAACAGATTGTGCTACTCAAATACATACCATTTAGTTGGTAGTTACAAGACAAATCCCACCAACCACCCATGTCCTGGCGAACCTTATTGGTTATGTAGGCCGAAGCAGCGGGAGATACGCAAACTATTCTTTATCTTTCTCCTTTGTCCCTATGGTTCCTCTCCCCTTTCTAGGGCAGACGTACACGAAACGCCTTCGTTTCCATCCTAGCCGTCCCATGCTCACTCTGAAGTGGTACCGCTGGCTCCAAAAACTCAATCTTCACTCTTTGCCTCGGGTCTTCACTCTTCACCTCTCTCGAGTCCACTCCGAATCCTGTGCCATCTACGTGCGAAATCCCGTAGCTACCTGAAATTGGCCTTCGATCCCACAAGGTCGCAATAGTAGATCGGCCCAACCTCGAGCACCTTCACATTGTCCAGAAGTTCCCTACGCGCCTCCCCGTAGAGCTTTTACTCCAACAGAGCGTGGTATGCGTCCTCTACTTCTCCTTCCCTGCAGTAGTACGACCCCACCTCCGCCAGCTTCATTCGGTGAAGTCTACCCCTGAAACAGTCATGTCCTGTCAGCAATTGAGAGGTTCCATAGTCAGGTTTCGGGGCGACGCGAGAAGAGTGGTGATTGACCACAAGGACCGTCCCGTTCGAAAACGGGACACGAACTCGACACTTCTGTAGTGGATCTCATCTCTTCTCATAATCTTTATTGCTTCATGTTGGTACATACATGGGTTCTTAAATTTAAAATAAAGATTCTCAACATGAGCCCTGCAAGGGCATTGCAAATTTTCTTAATTTCTAACAAACAATAGTAACACTTAATAGTAATACATGTGGTAATTATCTCTTATCTATTAGACAAGTCCGTCCGTCCGTCCGTCCGTGGTGCTGTTTCGGCGGCCAAACCGTAAGAGATAGATATAGAGAATGTTTAAGTTATAAGTTAAGAATAGTCTGATAAGACTACAAAACCGGATGTGAGTAACGTAGCACTTCCGGTTTCCTGAAATCACGTGATTTCTATTTCAAACGAAACCACACAAAATCTCCGAAGTTCTCAATTAATTCGATTCATTTTTTTTTGGTGAACATTTGGTTCACTGGTTTGCTAGTGTTTATATATTATTTCATTATTTGTCCTGATTAAATAGACATAACATTAAATAAATATTTACGTTTCATTATTTTTTAATCATTAACATAAAATTGATATGCATTTATTTATATATATTTGATGTTCTATTATAACTTGATAAACAATTATTTAAATATGTATTGCAACGATTGAAAAACTGTACATTTTTTATTATTGTTATATTATTATTTCCAATATTAGTATACTGGCAATTATTTAATTTCATTGTTAAGGTATTCATCAATATTATAAAAACAGTTATTAATTAAGAAATCTTTTAATTTTTTACTGAACATTGTATGTTTTTCTTCGTCTTGAATATACTGGGGTAATTTATTATATAATTTAATAGCTATTTAATATGGACTGCAGTTAAGGAGTTTTGTTTTGGATGGTGGAAAGTGTAATCTTTTTTTGTGTCGGGTATTTATATTATGAGTATCCTCTATTTTTTTAAATGAATTAATATTATTAGCAACTAATATACACAGGTCATATATGTAAACCGATACCAATGTCATTATTTTGTATTTGAAAAAAAATGGTCGACAACTTTGTGTGTTTTTTATTTGAGATATTATTCTTACACATTTCTTTTGTATAAGGAAAACTGAATTCGCATTTACACTGTTTCCCCACAGTATTAATCCGTATTTTAAACAGGTATAAGCATATGCATAAGCGAGCGCCGTTTCTGTATTTGTGCTTTGTTTTATTTCAAATAACGCATATGTGAATTTAGAAATTTTATTTTTTATGTGATTAATATGGTTTTTCCAGTTAACATTTTTAACAATATGTAGTCCAAGCAAATTGAACGTGTCCACTACCTCTATTTTAGTATTTCCTATAGTTATATTTATATCTAGGGTAGGCATTGAATAGGGAAGGAAATGTATAATTTTTGTTTTTATTAAATTTAATTCAAGATAGTGATTTTTGAGCCAGACTTTTAAATTTTCTAGTGTGTTTCTAATAATTAAATTATGATTTGATCCCTTATCGCATTTACACAAGATGGAAATGTCATCTGCAAATAAAACTGGTAACGAATTTTTTTTATCAAATATTTTTGGAAGATCGTTCACATATATCAAAAAGAGAATACAGCCCAGCACGCTTCCTTGGGGGATGGAACAGGTCATGTCTTTCTCTTCTGAAGTTACTGTTTCTATTTCATTTGTTTTGTTATTTAAATATTCAATTTGGACTTTTTGCTTTCTATTTTTCTGGTATGATTTGAACAAATTATAATCTGTACCTCGTACCCCTGACCTATAATTTGGATAATAAGATTTCATGTGATACTCTGTCATACGCCTTGGACATGTCCAGTAATACTCCCAGAGCACACTTTTTATCGTTCATATGTTGAAGAGCACCTTGAATATACTTAAAAACAGCAAGAGTTGTTGATCGCTATTTTCTAAACCCATTAAGACAATCATCTAAAATATTATATTTCTCTAAAAATGTGTACAACCTATTATACATAGCTTTTTCAAACATTTTGGAAAATGTTGGTAATAATGATATTGGTCTATAGTTTTTAGGGTTACATTTATCATCCTTTTTGTGGTCAGGTTTAATGAGTGATATTTTTAATAAGTTAGGGAATTCACCGTCAGAAAAACTTTTATTAATTAAATAAGTGAGAGGCTCTGATAATTCTTCTGCACATTGTTTAATTAGTATAGGGGGTATTTCATCAACACCATAGCTGTGTTTATTTTTAAGGTTTTGTATTATTTTAGTAACTTCTTTATGTGTCACGGGATTCAAGAAAAACGAATTTATTGGAGGGTCCCAAACCGGAAAAAACCTAAATTAGTATCGGTGAAACTGTTAGACTGACCAACAGAGATAAAATAATTATTAAATATTTCAACAATTTCTTTTGGACAAAACACATTTTTATTATTATAGTACAATTTCATATTTTCATACTTTTTTTGTTTATTTTTTCCAGTTTTGGTGTTTATGATATTCCACATTGTTTTTACTTTATTTTCAGAATTTTTCATCTGTCTAATGTACATAAGTTTCTTAGAGACTCTTACACATCGTTTCAGCATTTTAGTATATGATTTATAATAAAATTTAAAGCATTGTTGTTTGTTTCATTTATGAGTATTCTTAACGATCTTTTATTGGTACATGATCTTTTTATTCCTTCGGTAAGCCAAGTTTTATTAGGGGACTTTTTTATTTTTATTTTTTTTATTGGAATTTGATTATTTAAATTATTTTGTATTATTGTCATGAAGAAATTATAATTTTCATCTACATTTTTACTTTTATCAAAGATAGCATTCCAATCTATGCATTTTAATGAATTTTTAAATAAATGTATTTCATTTTTTGTAAATAGTTTTTTTTGCTTATACAACATATATTTCTCCTCTAAGTGCAAATCGGACCTTAAAACTACGTCAGCAGCGCTATGATCAGACAAACCATACTCTTCTACAAACGACTCCTCCACAAGGGAGGGGTAGTTAGTGAAAATTAGATCGATACAAGTTGAAGTTTTTTTTTGTTATTCTCGTAGGCTTATGGATCATTTGTTTTAGATTATAACCACTCATAGTATTTATAAGGTCTTGGGATAGTTTGTTTTTTACTTTTACATTTATATTGAAATCACCACCCAATAAATATATATTTTTATCCATTAAGTTTATTTTTTTTAAAAGTTTATTTATTTGTTCATAGAAAATATCTATATGGGGCGGTCTGCTCTATATAATCATATTACAATTAAATTTAACTTGGGTATCTCAATAGCACATAGTTCTAGTACAAATTCAACAGAATAATCTACAATGTCTTTTCTCTGTATAAAGTCTATATTATCTCTTATCAACACACAAACGGGGTGGGGAACCCTCGTGAGTTTCTCTACAATTAAGTGACCCTAATTTATAGCTTGGTATAATAATCGAATTACAGTAATCTCTATTTCTCCATAGTTCCGATAAAAATAGTATATCAATATTGGAATCTAATAACAAGTGTTCAAGCAAATGTATTTTATTCCCTACACTCTGAACATTTTAGTATGCTATAAGTAGTTTACTATTGAAATATCTGATTCTTACGTGGCGATATTGTCCTTTTATTTATGTTCTTGATGTATTTTTCCGGTGGTGCAGATATCCCAATTGAATTGTTGATTTGGTCTATGTTTTCTTGCACATTCTGAGTAAATTTAGTTTTTCCCTGTGCGTTAGAATGGGATTGAATTAGCCCAGTTTTAGGTATTTCTTTTCCATTTACAAACAGACATTTATTTTTTATAGTAGCATGGTGTCCATTTTTCTTTGCTAGTTGTAGATTATAACGCAATAATTTACGATGCTCTAAATCACTTCCCTGCATAAATATGTCAATTGCCAGCCCAGTGTTTTTGAAGTATTTTGTATTTCTTAGAATGTACTTTGTGATGTTTTTATTTGAAAATTCTATCACCAACGGTCGGTTTTTCCCCCTTGTGCCAATGCGCTTATTATTTTCAATAAATGGATAGATATTTACATTCAAAATATCGTGGAAATTTGATGACACACGTTCACACAAGTCGTATTCAGTTTCGTAACTCATATCAGCTACCCCAAACATAACGATTTTTTTAGTGTTAGTTAATGTATATAGCTGTTCTTCTAAGTTTTTTATTCTTACATCAATTATCTTTATTTCTTCGCTTATAGTATTTTGTTCCATTTTTAGTATGTTTATTTTATAGTCGACGTCATGCTGGAGGCTTTTAATAGCAGTGTTGATTTCTTGTTGTATTGTGTTTCTTATATCTACTATCGGCTGGTTTTAATACTCTCTAGTTTGTTGTCTAATAATTTACTAATCATTTCTACCGTTAATCTTGTTGTAGAATCGTTGTATGGGCTGTTTTGTGTATCATCACATACATCATTAATAGAACAATCAGTGTCCTGGGTTTGACTTAAACACCTGATTGGAGTCTTTCTTAGTTGACTTTTGTTTTGTTTCTTCCTATCAGTAACAAATGATTCGGGGGACGTCGGTCTAATAGCCGTATTAGAATTATCTTTTTTTGGATCCTTACAAAAACAAGATATGCACTTCCAATTTTTCTTTTTATCAGTGTCATTGTATTGTAAAATCTTGCCTCAGATACATTTGCACACTCCAAATCATATTTTTTTTTACAAAAAGAACACTTTAGAAATCGTCGATCCGGAATAATTTGTCTACATCCCTCACATAACGTCATCTTTAGTGAAACTGCGGAATAATCTAATATTTGAGTCGAAAATAATAGGACGCTATAAGGCAGCAGACGTCAGCTAAACTTTGTTGCTCGTAGCTAGATGTCGCAGTATCAGTTTATACAAAGGAGATTGCTCAGCTTCCATACATGTTTGGCCTAAAGACCAATAATCATGAAAAATTGTTTCCTAGATTCGAAATTATATATAAATTACTGTAGAAACGAATATTATTGACGGACACCCCTGAGAACTTCTATAAACCATATACACTGAACATATTAAAATAATAAAAAACAAATAAATTATATAGTAAACTAGGGAAATCAAGCCAAGTACCGAAATTATGGATTAGATTCAGGTATATAGAGCATGTAGATTAACAGATAGTTGCCTGTTTTTAAAGTTAATGAATAAGAGTAACTTTTAAAATCAGGTGTCATCTATGCATTTCCGGTTATAATAAGGTACTCTGTGACAGAAACTGTGTGATGATTGTGAATGAGCCACAGATAAGAGAGAATTTTTAAACTCTCGTTAACCAAAGGAAGCCAAGAGAATTAGGTTCTATAGCCATATATTCAGTAGCTTCATTATTTTTGTTATGTTTTTAAGATAACCATATTTTAGATTTTTAGTTTATCACACCTTATATTTTTTTTATTTATTAATTAATAGTCAGGAAACGTAGGCCCATAGATAGATACCTTAAAGTCTAACATATTATAGATTATAATGTGTTCATGGAGGTGTTTGGCGAAAAATGTATTGCAATAGACTTTATGATGTCGCCTACCATCTATAATAATTGTCTGAGCACATTTGCATCTAGTGAAAATGATAATATAGTTGGGAATATTAATACCACAGTGTAATAAAAAAAATGATTTATTTAACGATCTTTACAAAATAGATTTGTTTTTGTGTTATAACAACTTCGATCAGTCTTTGGCTGAATGTTACTACACCCATAGCCATTAAAAATGATTCGTATGTTTTCCAAACCGCTAAAACTAAAAGTCCTTTTTAAAGTAAATTTAATATACAAAGGTGTCCGTTGAAATTTAATGATTGTAAATTAAATTATAAATTACGCCAAGAATTACCGTGTATGTCAATATTTTTTGTGCATTTAGGCCAATTTGAGCAATCTCCTTTGGTTTTTTATTTATGTTGTTTTTATTTTGCTGAACTCGTTAAAAATCAAACGTGTATTATGTTTCCTCAAAACAAATTGTAGTTTTTCGGTAATGAACTTGCAATCATATGATAATTTTACACATTGTATTTCTCATATTCTTCTTTTTTTAAAATCCCAGTTTCTTTTTAAATAATAACACTTTCACTTGTGTACAAGGTATTTTAGAACGTTTATGCACGATTTTTGCATAGAAAAGGTCACTTTAAATATTTTTTGTATTTAAATTATCATAAAGACGATGTTTACACTTAGAAACCAAAGGAGGGATCAGACTCCCCGCACGCCGCAGCGCCTCCGGCGACGCGCGAGACGGAGAAGAACAGAAGTATAATTAAATGTGAAAACAAATTTAAATCGATCACGGTTTTTCAAATACATAAATAAGCTACCTAAAGTAGCTCTCAAAAAACCCGTTAAGGCTATGAGTAAGTAAGTACATATAAGAGAGCGTTAGGAGCAGCTATCTTGCACTTAAGCATAATGTGTCATCGTTCTATAGTGCTATCTCAATTTCACCATTCCACCAAATTTAGGAATTTCTCGAACCCTTGCCGTCTTATTAGGCACAATACAAAACGTTGACGAAAGTTAAACCCGGTCTACAAATCATACGGTCACCGTTTTGCAGTGAAACTTCTTTAGGCACGCTTGACTTGGGATGTTAGCTGGCGAATGCGTTACGCGTTACGAAAAGTGTGTTTGGGCGAGGCGAACGGGTGTTCAGTGGGGGATATAAGCAAGAGAAAGCAATGCGCGCGCACATTTCCTTTTTTTTTAGCTAGTAAATGTTATATATCTTACACACACACATATATATCTATACAGATGGAGCTTAAGAAGTTTCACTTCAGTCGTGTGCACACTCGTTTTTTTGTTACAGAGAAGACAGGGACAGCATTAGGTTTACACTAAGTCTAACTTTAGTCCACGTTTAGGAATAAGGCGGTTAATGTTAGTTCAGTTAGTTACGAAAGCAACGCAATGATTTCATATCAGGAAAAACATACATACAGGTCAAACCGAAGAACATCCTTTTTTTGGAGTCTGATAATAAAAATCGGATAGAGTACTCGTTTCAAATTGATCGTTTTCAGTTATATAATTTCATAAGTTAAAGACACATAGATTGCAGGAGAGGGTGGAATCATCCATCGTTATAACATACTTAATAGTTGAGAATAAAAAAAAAGGTTATAAGAAAAGCCGCAGTCACAGTATTTCCTGAAACCATGAAGTTTTAAAATTCGTTTTGATTGCCACCTATTAGGGGGCGGATTAATCATCGGCTATCTAGATAGCAACGTTCAAATGAGCGTCATGTAATGCATTCCTTGTCTCCTATTGTCTCGAGCTGGGTAATCGCTTCCGTGAGAGAATCGGCGGTCGAGCCGCGTCGGCCGGTGATCGGCCGATCTGACAGTTCCAATTTGTATGCCGGCCACCGCGCGGCACCGGCCACCCTCCGCGTTCTCACACCACCACTCGGCTTCGTCTAATTATTGTTTGACTTTTTAACGCATAACACATGTTATCGGCTGTTAACAAACGGAATTCGTGACGGTAATACGAATAATGATTGTTCCTATATTTTGATGCTTGTTATCGTACCGATATAACGGAAGGACACCTTGGTGGTACGATTTGATGTTACCAACAACTTTATTACTTAAATTCCTATAATAATTATAATTCATAATGAAATGCCGGATAAGAAAATCGTTTTGCCTATTAAAGCTTTACTGCAGGCTCCATTACGGATTGATTGATTGCAAAGGATTCCAGTAGTAGAAAGTAAATCCTTGAGAGAAGCAAGCAATAGCATAATGTATTTATTAGCTTTAACTTTTGCTGTCACGTATTCGATGACAATCCATTACGCAAGATAGGTAATCATGAAAATCGTATTTTAGTAAGTTTCGAACTGTTTTTTGAGAGAAATTTTGAGTTCAATTTTAAGTTTATGCGAAAACAAAAAACAAAATTATTCAAGAATCAAAAGGAATTCAGAAATAACGTGAGTTTGTTTTGCACCAATGATCGACAAGAACCAATGATCGATATTGTTTTTGTGATCAGTGGAAATTAGAGTGACCGATCAAATTTACCGAGTGGTAAAACCGAGCTATCGAATTAAGAATAATTATTATTGGAATAAAATGCAAAACATTGCTTAATATAATAAAAAATGCAGTGCATAATAGTCACAGCAACGCGGTCCAGCGTTATTAAAATGAACACAGTGACTATAAAAATGTATTCCAAATTTGGCTGCCATTTTGTTGGTCAGCAGCAAATAATTACGAAAACGTTTACTCGTATAAGGCGAGTCATTATAGGCCATTATCATCTATTCGCAAGATGTTTTTTACACGCTCCGGCAGTGCCCTGTTTGAGTGAAACGGGCTCAAAACAGAGCGGTTGCTTTGAGACACTTTGAGTTGTTGAAAAAGTGCCCATAGGTTGATATAATTCTAAACATGAATGAACAGAAATCGTATGCCGCGAGCACGCTTCGCCACTTGCCTATTCAGGATGTATCAGTTATGGTATGGATCTAATGACTGTTCCCTCTTTGGCGCTACTCTGAAATACGACTTTTTGCTGTTTTTCTTGCGCATGTGTCAGTGGTAGTCCGCAACGGGACGTCATATAACGGCCAAGGCAGATATTTAATGATAAAATTCGTATTCGTTTACTATCTTCACATTTCATGGTGTGATATGAAATTCCTCTTTTTATTGCGCTAAATATAGTAGCGAGCTTAGATTCTGGACCTTCTAAGGCTTATAGAGTTCCTATATGGTGACTATTAATATCAATTCTCTACTTCATATAATTTTATGGAGTATAAGAGTAAGAAGTTTTATAATTTTTCTTTGATTTTTATTGTATTGTGGTACAGTCGTTTAAGATCATGGAAAAATTAATAATGTGATTATAACTGAAACAAATAGCTATCGATATTTATATCACCTAATTATGTAAATTATTAAAATAAACGTATTCGCAGAATGGCTACGTCAATTGAATTGAACTTAATTATTTTCCATATCAGTTAAAGTAGACCTATCTTTAGCACATAGCATATAAAAAAACTAAATTATTAACATGTCGATTTGAATAAAAATCGCGGCTATTAAGCATTTATAAAATAC